TTTAATTGTTTCAATTATACATGAGCTCATTTTAAACGAGTGTAATAGCTAAAAATGTGTTTAAATAAGTTCAATATTTAAACCCTGTCAGGCTGAGGTCACTACAAATACCCAAACTGCCTGCAGATTCTTTCCCTTTCTTGTTCTTCTCTGTGCATCTCTTCTTCTCCAGAATGCTGCCAGCTGTCACCCAGGCCTGTCTTGCAGCCACATCTCCGTCTGTCCAGGGCAGAGAAGCCAAGGCTGAGGCTCCCTTCTCGAGGTGCACTGAGTTCCCATGCTGTACAGCTTGCTGAAGCCCCCAAGTCATGACCGAACACTGGAGCGCGTCCTCTTCTCCTTCCCCAGTAAAAACCGAACAGATGGAAAGGAGCCCTGAACCAGTGCACAGACATGGCTGTGTGCAAGAGGGGCTCTGTGCTCCTGCCTTGACGACAGCTTAGAGCAACATCCATCTTGAGTTATTTTTGTTTGCTGAGGCTGTAAGTTACAATCTTCAGAAGAAAGAGAAAGAAAAAAGGTTGGCGCACACTGAATGCTGCTGCTGACAAGCTCCCATTTTCCTCTATGCTACTGCATGATTTGCAGAAGAGAAAAGCTGAAAACCTCTTTCACACTGCTCGTATCTCAGAAAATGGGAGAATTCATAGCCATGCATTTTACATGATGGGCAGAAGTCAGCTCTTCGGGCAGACGCAATTGCAACAAAAACCAAACACAAACGAGTGAGCACAGTGCAGCTCCCCTAGGGGCTCATTCCAGCAAGAGAGATGGACTTTTAAGAGTTAGGCTCCTCCAGAATATCCCATTCCTGGCACAAATCCACACATCACCTCTGAAGCAAAGGTAGCTCCACTTCCATATATGCTGCAGTTTTTCAAAGCCAAAACGATCAGACAGCAACACCAGAAAAAGAAGCATTCTTCCCAGAAGGGAGCAGGGGGAAATCCCAAGCTAGAGCAAAGACGATCAGTAGGAAGGTGAAGGGCTCCTAGCACAATGCAGCAAAGGCGCGAGGACTCTGGCTCTGCAGCTTGGAGGACGTAAAAGTGCCAAGCTTGAGCCAATTAAGCTCCATCAACCTGGAGCAAGACTCCTCTCAGCTCTGCAGCCAGAGGCGTACAGCAGCCTCAGGGATACCTGCCCATGCTCTAGTGCACAAGGCAGGCATGCCCTCTGGAGCTCAGGCGTGCTGAGAGGAGGTATTTTAGCTCAGCAGATAAATGCAGCAACAATAAATGGCATCAATTATTCACTAATGGAATTATGTCCAGTAAGTCAAACAGAACGTATAATCTGAAAAATCTTTTGCTTAAGAAATGCAATGATTTTTAATTGGTTTTATATCCCCTGCTATGAGTACTCAAAGCACTACATACAAAAGGCTTGGGAAGAGAAGTCACTTAATCAGATTAAAAGGAAGTCCCTACCTACGGGAACCTAACAGCTCCCACATCCTCAGTTTATTTGTATAACCTCCTCCTGTAAAGCCTTTCCAGGTTATTACTAGGGCTGCAGTCCCAGCATTAGCTGTTTGCAACCTTTCACTTCCCAAAGCAGGCAAAAAGGATGATTTGCAGCTTTCCAAAAAGCTTCTTGATATTAAGAAACACTTGTGAAACTTAAATCAACATTACATTCACACAGATGCTCAAGGCAAACTATTCTGTCACCACCACAAACAGTAATCATTACTCTGCAAACATGACAGATTTCTTTTAGAGCACCTGGAAGCTGCTGCATGTAAAGAAGAATCTGACTAGCATAATTAAATTAACTCACCTATTTTAATTCTTCTGGCACAGCATCTGAAGCAGGAAGAAGCCAACCAATGTTACTGCGGTACAAGTTTGTGTCATTTTTGCAGCATTCTGTAGCCCTCACATGCATTCCTGTTTATCACCTCTAAATGGAAACAAGAACACCTGAGTCCACAAGGAAGGGCAAGCAAAGGCACCTGAGACCATTTATTTCAGTTCTGGTTTGCTGGGCTTTTTTCCTCCTTCCCAGAGCACTGTTTCTTCAGCAAACTTTAACTCTACACCTCCAGCTGGAGCACCGTTTTGTCACCTCCTTCTTGACATCCACTCCCATCCATCTCCTCAGTGCCTCCAGCTGTTGGTCAACTCCTGTGTTCTGCCTGTATTTGCTATTTAGAGTTTACACCCTCAACTTTCTCCCCCTTAGGTTGCCATTCCACAACTTCAAACATACATTTCTCCCCATTAGCCTCCGCCAACACCTTTCTAGCCAAACCCCTGTGCCCTGTAAGGCAACTCCAGTTTGACTGATAGAACATTTCTGCACACACTGCTTTCCTTCGGACAGCCTCTGCAATACCTGAACACAACACTGCACCTCCTCATTGCTCCACCCCAAGTCCCATTCAACTTCACTACTTGAGGCTCGCCCTACCTTTTAAGCAATATATAATGGATTACATGGTTTTGCACATGCACTAATCAACTTTGTAATTGCTCTTGTACTCAACACTAATCACAGTTTTTCCTCATTCAGGCTTATAATTCTACATACTGCTCAGAAAGATGACAGTCTACGTAAGTCAAAGAAGACACAGACACCTCAATTTTGTTGGTTTATTGCCCTAGTAGCCCAGATCTGTCTTTACCATCAGCATCAGCACTTTCCACACACTGCTTCACAGAAGTGTCTACAGAACAGTCTGCACAGCTTCCCCTCCCCTCGTAAGGACACTCACCAGCTCAGACATCCCAGTGCTGACAGCCAGCAGGACGAAGAGCCGCACTGCCCACCCCGAGCACAGCTCCACAGACCCTGTCCATATGGCATCATTTGGGCACCCCAGCCACCCCTGCTGCTAAACCAGCCTCCCTGCTATCAGATATACAGCTGCCATTCTGGACAACTGTACACCAAAAAAAAAATAAAATCACAGTCACTTTCCCCTTCTCACTCTCCTGTACCATAAACATCATTTATATATTAAAAAAAGAAAAACTACAGAACCACAGCATCAGCGTGGAACCATGACCCCACTGAGCAACAAGGCCTCACTGTTCCCTGTGCCTGCAACCAAACCAGCCTCTGTCTCCAACCCTTCTACTCAAACACTAAAATTCAGAAGCTCCTTGAGCACCCATCCCCTTAAGCACCCAGTGAGGCCCCCGGCAATCAAGTGACAGCACCTCATATCTAAAGACCACTTTCAGAAAGGGAGTCAAATTATCAATTTCACTCCAAGTGCTGAAACTACAGAAACAGAAAATGTGTTTCACACACAATGTACTGGAAGAAGAAAATAAAAATCAATAGTTTGTTCCACACAGCAATATAAAAGTCAGCACAAGAGAGAATGAATATTAAAAGGTAAAAGCCAACTACATGATCACATACTTGCAAAGAAACTGTTTTTACTTTATGTGCTTTTTCCCCTTCATCTTACACTGAACATATACTGGCTCAATTAAATGAAAAGAACAAACTATTCACTGCTGTGGGCTATATTTAGCCATAAGCAGGCTAACATATTAAAGCATTTTTCCTACCAGTACTCAACCTGTATTGATACTGTCAACAGCTGCCAATAACGTAAGGCATTCTGCAGAGTCAATCAAAGAAAGCAGCTACATGTAACAGAATACACTCAAATATAATTAAAGGTAAACTATCAGCTGAATGACGCTATAACCACAGACATTTTATTTCTATAGATGTGTACTTCTGATAAAGGAGATGCAAAGGCCCTTCCTTGCAGCCGCTGGTATTGCCTGGCATCAGTGAATCAAGGCAGCTCAGCTACACAGGTTATGGATCTCATAGGGGTTCCCAGCCAGGTCAGTAATAGCAGTTTCATAAAACAAAGCACCATCATCCTTAGCAGGCTTTAGATCAAGCTCTATGCTGTAGCCAAATCCTCATCTCCATGCCTGCTCTCACAGGGCAAACAGGGCCCACACAACCACACCAAAAGACTGTAAACTAGTTTGGCTTAGCAACATCCATTCAGCCACTGGGCTCAGAAGGAATTCAGCCTAAGATCTGGTGATTCACAGAGTAATATTTCCCAGCCTGAGATGGGAAATTGGTACAGACCAAAAAGTCTTTTCCTCCTTTTCCAAAAAACACAGAAATTGAATTTAAAACAGGCCACATCAACTAAGCCAGTAATCTGTTCATACTGCATGTAACATGCAAGGGCAGCACCACATTGGTTACCAGTTCATGTACATAAGAACAACGCTATGTTAACACTGAAGGTAACCCATCTGCCTGCCCAGATCCTTGAGATTACCTGAGAAAGGCACATGTTTCCAAATTACTTTGTTCCACTGAGCAGGGAGAGCTGCACAGACCCGCAGTCGCTTTGCTCTCACAGAACTAATGGAACATTCCCTACATCAACCATCTTTCCCAGAAAAGGAGAGATGATTCAGTGCTTCTTTCAAGTGTTCTGTTATTATCAGTGCCTTTCAAAAGCAGCTGTAAACATAAACCAGCTCTTGTTACCTTTCACTGCCACAACAATCAGAGAAAGCACTTTGCTCTACCCAGGGAAGTTCTTCCCAGTGAAGCCCACGTGTGATCACACATGTGGCTGGCATGGCGTTTTGGAAGACGCCCTTCCAACATCCAGTAAGCCCATCCAGACTTAAAATTGTCAGGAACCACATTCATGGTTAAGAAAATCTGTTAGCATGGACACAAGCACAGCTTTTAGAACAACGCCAAATCCATCTCTACTTTAACGGACTCTCAAAGAGATCAACTTTTTTCCTTCTTTTCTTTTTCTTTCCCTTACGAAAGCACAAGGACATTTTGGGACAGCTTAAGACATGTCAACAGAACATTACAGAGAAAAAATTCATCCTGTAACATCTGGTAAGCAGATCTTATGAATTTTTTCTTCCCCCAGAAGAGAACAAGGATATATGCAAAACAAAAAGCAGCCATTTAAAACACTTGTTTCAATGAGCATTAAGTCCAGATCCAAAGGTAAAAACATTTTTTCTGTGACTTACCAGAATTTCTCTTCGACACGAGCTTCAAATTCATGCTGACTACAGTACAGATCACAAGAACCAAGAGAACAAGAGGCTTCATCTTTCACTTTCTTTGGCAGCTGAAATGCAAACATAGTATGAAGTCTGAATCATAGGTCTTCACCACACCAATGCAGCAGCTACAATTAAATATTTCTCAAAGAGCCATTAAGGGCAATGCTTAACCTAGTGGCATCTGTCAGCTTTTGGTTTATTTTTTTAATGCAGAGGTAGGAAAACATCACGGCTCAAAGCAACTGCCCATGAATAATTTACCTGAGTACCACACAAGAAGTTGTTGGCTTTGTTTTTCAAATATTCTGAACGCATTATTTTGCTTTAAAAAAAAAAAAGGAAAAAAAAAAAAAAAAGGACAAATTCTTATTTGAAACAATCTAATTTAATCCGACAGATTTTTGTATGTTGTAGAAGAATAATCACAACAACTATAACTCATTTTGTTTCATACTTTAAAAGAACACTTTACATTGTTTGGGAAAATGTAAGAGTAGGTTATTTGTGCCATTCCTCCCAGAAACCTTATTTTCCCCACTGGTGACCTTGAAAAACTCCTACAGTGAAATGATACTACTCCAGAAATTTCTAATATAAAAAGAAGACAGCTAAATGAAAACCAGAAATCAATGGAACCAAGCCTTGAGACTGTTATTAAAAATACAGTAAAATTCACAGGAGAGACTAATGCCATCTACTTTCTATCATAATTGTTTTAAAAAAAGAGAAAATCCCAGTTTATAACGGTCTTTTGAGTGGTACGTGATTACTGGAACAAGTCATGTTTTCATTCACAAGTCCAAAATCATTCAAGAAAAGACAGCAAGAGCTCAGTGAGGCTCCCTATACGTGATTAAAAAACAGGTGCAGTGAAACTGAAACCAGCAAAGCCCATCCTTCTCACTAAATGAAAAAGGAGAGAGATGCTTAATTAGAAGCTAGAGTCCCCAAATACATGCTTAGCAGGAAGTCACAGGACTTTAAGTGGCCTGCACTTACAGGAATTCACCGCCATACCAGATATAGAACCCAGATCAGGATCCTTACCCTTGGATACAGAGACTAGTTACCTAGATCAGTATGAAGTTTTTATCTATCAAAATAATCAGCTGACGCTCTATGGCAGTTCTGTTTAAGCAGAAAAGTGCACAACCACCTGTATCAGCAACCAAGGCAAAGACCAACAAAACAGAGGAACCCCAACTGGCAGAGGCAGCCCCCAGCACAGGCTTAATATGAAAAGCCAGCAGGAGAGCATCATGTCCTGCAGGTCTCTGGAAATTATTCCATTTAATTGGAGCTTATTACATTAACCATCCTTCCTTTGTCATTTTACTGCCAGCCTACTGTTGTGTGAAGAAAATCTAAGGAACCACATATAATTTTGTACACGAAGGCCATTACGCTGCTACTCAATTATTTCAAAAGTACTGCTTATATCTGAAGTTTTCACCCCTCACCCTACTGCACTGCAAGCTACAAAAGGGCAGCAGATTTCTTCTCGCTGCATTTCAAGTTCCCCTGGGCACTCACTGCCTGCTGATTCCCCCAAGTAACGACGCTAAAGAGCTGAAGGGATATTCAAGGAGCCGTACGCACTGAAGGCTGTCTGACAGTGCTTAATGGCAGAATCCGTTTTTGTTCTTCCCCAACCTCTCCTTGGAGTACCAAAATCCTGAAACGAGCAAGGCCATCTTGACAAGAGAGCGAGGAGAAAGTAATTGAACTAAATCTTTTGACAGATAATTGTAATGATGATGTTATGCTAGAACGATTTTCAAGTGTAGCTTTGCAAATTGCTTTCTTCACTTCCTTCCCTTTGGTTATTACAGCTGAGGTATGTAACTCCAGGATCCTTCCTCACGTGGCCCCTTTATCCTCAACCCAAATGGGCTATTCTGCATTAAATAAACTTAAAAACTCGAAGCAAGTTGTGACAAGCAACATTCACTCTAAATATAGGGGAAAACTCTGGGTTCTGTCAGCACCAGATGCTTTGCTTTTTGAAGCCCGGGCCTCACTAAAGCAGTCACTGCCTGTACCTGCACTAGCAATATTATGAAAACACAGCAGGAGAAGGTCAAGAATCTACTCCACCACCCAGCCATTCCCAGCCCAGCCCAGCACCATCCATTCATCTGACACAAGCTGAATGCAAACACACAGCAGTACTTGGAGTGCCCTCTTTGTATACAGAGATGTCCCAGCTGAAGGCAGAAGCACTCACAACATGCAGGGCTGCAAGCATCCCAGACAAGATCTCTTTGTTTGCCAGGGAGGAGATATCAGGGGCTGAGCCTCTGAAGATCGCCCTGATGTCTGCCAGCCTCACAGTTCCCTGCAGTGGGCCATGTACTCGCCTGCCAGGCACAGGGATGCCCCAGAGAGTCAAGATGGTCTCACTCTACATCTACCAGCGCTTTGGGAAATAAATGAGAGGAAAAGTGTCTACAGTCTGATCAAGAATGTGAAGAAAACTGTGCTATTCTGTAGAGATACTAGATGGGACGCAATGATCATTATTCAAAACCATTTTCTACAACTGAGGCTTTTCTTCCAAGTAGGACTGATCTGGAGCACAACTACGTCCAAAAGCCAAGCAGTCGCTTAGTGTCCCTGGTGTCACCTACTGATCCACATGAAAAGGAAACACATGAGGAAGGGATTACCCCCCACCCTACTTACCATAAGGGAAAGAAATTCAGCCTCAAGGCGTAACACTCCTGTTGATTTTAAGCTGTTTATTCCATATACACGTAGTCAAAGATAAGATCACATTTACAGGATTTGATAGAAATAACTGCCCATAGAACGTGTGGATAACAAGGGATTCCAGGTAGCCACAGAGACTCCCATCTCAAAAGATGAAGGAGATTCCAGCCACAAATTGCACTCCTCAATACTTACTACACTTCCCAACAACCAACTGCAACACTGCATTTTTAGCACTGCCAAAGTCCCAGTTAGACTCTGACAACACTGCCAGGACAGCCCTGCACCTGGGCTAACGCACTGCTTTTTCATCTACTGCAGCACTGTCCCAGAAGTTCAAATTCTGGCTTCCCATGAAGAGCTGAACCCAATCTTCACCTTCTAGCACTACCTATCCTCAATTTACTTTAACCTCCGATGGCAGCATAAAACTCTCCTGTTTGAAACACATTTCATAGAAGGCAGGTTACAGCTAGGAGTTTGTAAGATTTCTAAGTATTGATTTTAACAGAATGTTATATTAAAGTTTCTTTACATGCCAGGCAGCATCTTCTCCTCCCCATTTTCAGTTAGCTCTTCATGAAACAGCTAAAGTTAAAAATCCCCAAGTTCCTTCTCCTGGTGCAAAGACATGCTTCCTTAAAAACAGTACATGCTTCCATTTAGGGTATCTATATGCTACAAAATTATTGTTATAAAAATGCATCTGTTACTTCTCTTCACCTCTTTATTTCAAATGTGAGGACCAAAGACAATTTTGGTCAACTTCTCTTTTTAAATGGTTATGAAAATCATCTTCTTTGCCCACCTCCCACCGCCATGCGTGACAGCTTCTCCAACACTTTCAGCATTTAAGAACTGTGTAACTAAAATGAAAGACTTAATGAACTTAGGATGGCCAGAACACATCACAGAAACAAGCGTTCTTGTCAAATAAAACTAAAGTACAATTCCCACATTCTAGTTGGCAACAAAATTAACCTTGCACTATGCCTGGAAGTTGGGAGGTTGAGGCTGACACACACAGGGTGCATCAGACAGATCTTCACATCATGCAGCTTGGACATCAGACTACTGGATACATCTCAGAGGAGGGTAACAGCATTTAAGATCTTTCCCAGAAGAGCGAAGATGTTTCCCTTACTAACTGTACATAGAAATGCTGATAGCAGCTAACTAGCTCAAGATCCCTGAGATGAAGAAAGAGAAAGGCAGGATAAAGTGCTCCCTGAGAAGGCTGAAAGAATCCAGCCCTTGGCGTGACCTACCAGGTTACGTTTGTATGGAGATAAGCAAAAGGAGGTCGCTACCATCAGAGGGAAGACAAGGAAGATGGAGCAGTTTTGTTCTCAATTGTTCCTTCCCTCCTCATGCTGCTGCGATGCTGCAGAGGACAGATTTCAGACCGCCCTCCTGACCTCTGCTGTAAGCATCCAGCAAACAGGAGGGCACCAAACTGCCATGAAGCACAAATTCTGTTCTTCTAAAAGCAAACCAACAAAAAACACCTGACTTCCACATGCTGCCTAACAGCCTTCAGCAGCACTGACAAAACAAGGCATTTCTTCAGGGCCCTGAGGAAACAAGGCTTGGGAAACTGCAACAGCATCCAACACTGCAAAGATCTTCACTCAAGTGTTGAGGTTCCAATAAAGCATTTAGAAACAGGAAGGCAATTGGTGCATTAGTATTCTGCACAAACCTCAGCACTGAGATTCCCAAATCTCTGCCTTACACGCAATTTAGTTTTGCTGTAATTTCTACCATAAGCTTTGCTTATACCACATCCCTTTGTCAGAGAAAGCAAAAAGAGAAATGCAGTGTGTGTGCACTCGGCACACGCCTGTGCACAGACCGAGATCTGCTGACACACCGTGAGGATCCGCAGGTTCTGGCTCCTCCACAGAAGCTGTGATGCAGAAGGTGCTCATTAAAATCAGCAGCCCACCTCTTGAGTGGTTTCCAGTTGTCAGGCTTTGTTGTTCACAAACCTCAGGGAAATAAATGACTGTTTTCACCCCCCCCACACAAAGTAAGAAATGGCAACAGCAATTCTTTCGACATCTTTACAGTATGCTAGATGGCGACTTCTGTTCACTCTTTTTCAAACCATTTGCCCACTCCGCTTCTTAAGGTTTTCAATTTTAATGAGAGTTCTCTCTCAGGTCTCCCATTCTGTTGCCAACACACCAAATGTTGAGCTGTGTATTTCTGAGAAGTTTTCAGCACGCACAGCATGGTGGGTGGAAGCAATCCGCAGTGGGCACAGGTCCCTTTTTGTTGACGCTCTGATCTCACACACACACAGCAAAAAGAATTAAAATCAGAGATGCCTGCTAGTTCAAATATTGTA